AAAAAAAAAAAGGTTAGTTTTGTCTAAATGGCACCGAATAGATATCAAATTGAAGAAGAGTGGCCAATAAACTGCTAGATACTGCCAAGTCACCAGATCCCCTGCAGTTACTCTTGGTTTCAGAGAAGCGAGAGCTTTGACAGATAGTTGTAACCGAGTAGGAATGGTTGCAAGTCAGAGGCTGATGAGGGCGGACAGATGGTGTGCAGGTAGGAAGGTGGCTGCGCTATCCTTGTTGTGACCTGCAGAGATTAGCGCTGTCTGTACACCCCCACCCTTCCCCACAATGATTAGTGCTACCGGAGGAGAACGCCTGGCTGAACAGCAAAGCCGGGCATTCCACAGATGCAATTATCTATTATCACAAAAAAAAGTTAAATATCAGATCTTACATCACTGCAGGGAAGAGTATCTCAGCAATTAAAGTTACCCAGTCTAAGTCAACAGGGAGTCAACATTACCAACTGTACACATAAGTTTGCCTCTGAAACAACTTTCTTTTTCAGATGACATCATCAAGCCCTCTTATTTTTAGCCCCTCCCCCTCTAACCACTAGGGGTGGGAATCTTTAGTCACCTCACGATCCGATCCCGATTCTGGGAGTCACGATCCGATTCCAGAACGATTCTTGATCTGATTTTTGTTGATCTTTTCTGTTGTTTTTTTACTATGACATCATAGACAGCGGGATATCTATTAAGCTGCACTCACGCACGGATCTCTTTTGAAAGAAGTCATGTTGTTTGTCCTGTCCGTTTAATCCCTTAAGACATAAGTGGCTTTCATAAAACCATTTTGAGACGCAAGTGCATTAAACCACTTACACGGAGTCGCGCACAGTCGCATGCGCGAGCAGTCTTCACAAACAAAGCGCAGTCAGCATTTGAAATTGTAAGCAGCCTTCTGTTAGTGAGGTTCATATTTTAAATATATAAGTCTACTGCATTCCAAACCACATAAATGATGACTTCGTAGAGCATTTGTAAGGAAAATACCGACGGGCGAGACCGCATACTTCAAGTGTAACATCAAACAAAGCGCGCGTCTCTCACAGCGCATCCGGTGCAATGAAGCCTGCGCATATCCTTGTAATTAGCTTTAACCTTTCCGAACTTTATGAAAGATAATTTTACGGAAGGTTCGAGCGGTGTATGTGTGTGAGGAATTGGAAGCAAGCAGAATACGGGTGTTTCTAAAGCAAACCTCATCGCTCATCTGGTTAAAAACTAAGGTCAGATTCGATTCTGAAATTCTCAGAATCGATCCAGAATCGTTTGAGAGAGAATCGCGATGCATCGATGGATCGATTTTTTTCTCCCACCCCTACTAACCACCATTTAAAGCCCACTTTTCACAATCCATTTCAGATGGATAAAATCATTTTTTGCTCCATTTTGCTTTGAAACACATACGTTAAACGGGTTGTGAACAACTTTCCTTTTCAGATGACATCATCAAGCCCTCTTACGATTTAGCCCCTCCCCCTCAGACCACCATAAAAAGCCCGCTTTTCACAATCCAACTCATTTCAGATAGATAAAATCAATTTCTGCCCCATTTTTGCTTTGAAACACAGAAGTAAAACAGGTTGCAAACAACTTTCCTTTTCAGATGACATCAAGTCTTCTTAGTATTCATTCATCCCTCCCCCTCTAACACGGAGTCCAATTTTCACAATCTAATCAATTTAAGATGGATAAAATCAATTTCTGCTCCATTTTTTGCTCTCAAAAACCAACGTAACCTTTTGGGATACTTGTGTGGTACATAACTAGGTTGCTAATTAATTTGTGATAAATTAGGTAAACTGGTAATACAAAGACTGCCACTTCAGTCCAACCATTTAGCGTGTTTTGAATGAGTTTGAGACCCCTTGAGAAAGAAACGTGACCCTTTGATTAAAGGCATCTGCTAATTAACAAGCAGGCAAACCAATACAAATTCCACATCTAAGATGAAACATATGAACAATTCCATTTACAACTTTAGTTGAGCAGTTCAAAATTAGAGTATAATCTACGAACTTCCATTGCATTGGGGCCACAAGAGCAGGCTTTTCCAAACTGGTTCTGCCCATTCAAACAGCCTCTTTTGTTATAATAATAACGGTTCCAAATCCAGAGGATGAATATCGGGTAATCTTCCATGGCATCAGATCAGGATTTGGGTTGCCTAAGCCAGCTGGCATTACATAATACTGGTCATCTCTTAATTTGCACAGGAGGTGGATGTTGAATTGTTAGACATTTTCATAATTTTTGGACTTCACCAAATCTAATTAGCCTCCTGTTGACCATGACGTCATGCATAAAGTTATTGGTTTTCATTGACGTAATTCGGTATCCCAACCCTGTTAAGTGCAGACCCCAACACTGAAACAAATACTAAACACAAAGCCTAACCCAAACCCCATCCTTAACCTCAATATATCATTGGTAGCACATGATAGGCTAGATACTGTTTGTAGCAATTGGATCCATCCATTTTTCTGAACTCTGAACTGAATCCAAGAAGTCTGAAATTTTTTGACAATGAAATTGGCTGCAGGGGTTTAGCCTGAACTGTTTTGGGAAAAATATGCTTTTCATTGCTGATGATTTTGTACAATGGCATGATCATATCATAGAGGCCAAGGACAAAGTCAATGTGGAAGTAACGGCTTCATCACAAGAATAAAACTAGGCCACATTTTCTACAGCTGGACCTGCAAATTACTTTAAATAACCACAACCAGCCATTTTAATCATGCAACTTAAAAGAGCTTAATATCTTCATTGCCAAGAGCTTAATGGCTGTAAGCATTCATTAAAGTCATATGTTTCAGTAATTAGATCACGCACTGCCATCATTCCTTTCAGCTAAATGAATATAAAGCGATAATGGAAAAGTCTTCTGATAAACAATCACACAATAATGTAATTAAAAACAAATGATCATATTTAAAACAATCCGCAACTCTGCAAGGCTTGATATGGGACAGTAATCGCTGCACATGCAGTTTGGAAAGGCCTTGATTCAACGTGGTCAGCAAAAATGGGTGTGTCATATGATAATAGCCTTAATGTAAAACTGAATCTTGGTGACCCAAGTTATTATCTTCATAACACCAAGGCTGCTTTTATCCCCCAGATCATCGTCTCTAGTTATTTATAGCGTTGTGGACGGCAGCCATGCCTGGCTGGTACGGCGCTCATATCCTCGGGCTGTGTGAAGCTGATGTGCAATTTAATTAAGAAGATCATTTAGACACAGATCTGATCTACTTAGCGACTGACAAACATTTGCATTGTGTTTTCAAAGACTAGCTATCCCACAACCTACCAAAGAAAAAAGCTAATTATGACACTAACTTACCTTTAAAGGCTGGTGAAGGAGGATAAAATCTTGCCCCAGTTATGAAAACACAACATGAGCTTGAGTTTTAATACTCACTCCCTTCTACAACAAACTTTCGCCTTGATGTGAATATGTTGGCACAAAGTCTTGGTTCTCTTTACAAGTGCGCAATACGGCGCCCCCGCTAAAATGGTCTCATAATAAAGGGTCATTTGTTCATGAAACACGCTTGGCAGTTGTAAAGCCTTAAAAGGTGCAGGCTAATTACCTTTCGGAGTCTGTCTAAATGTGTTTCGGATCGATTCAGAAAGGCACTGTTGCTCTCAAGGCTTTGGCTAATAAAGAGTCAGTGGACTGTGTTCATGCTTTTTTTAACGTGAAGGGCAGAGTCAGTCTCTCGCTCAAAAAAAAAGCCACGCTCTTCCTCCCAACACGTTTGCCAAATGTTCAACACAAATGCAGCCTTTTCCTGCCACGGTGCAGGTCCTGCTCTTTTAAAGTCTGGACTGTAGTAAAACCGGAGGTCTGATCAGGCCAACATGAAAGATGCTGGCGTTCATTAAATTTGCATTAAGCCATTGCTAATCCGACTGGACCATTACCTTCGGAATCATTTCCTTGCAATTGCAGAAAACCAAAATATTTGTAAACTGCACAAATATGTCTTCGGTTTGAGACACAAACCAGTCCAAATTGTACTGAAACTACTTTAGAGATGTTCCGACTGAAAGAAACCTGAAAGATTTGGGATACACATGGGTTAAAGGCAGAGTAACTTACTGACACAACTCCACACCTCCTCTCAAATTTCCCTCCCTCTCTTTCTACACCCCTGCCCGCATGCAGCATATTGCAGCAAAATTCCTCGTGTTGGGAAAAACAGACAGAACTTTAAAGGATAAAATGTTCCCTACTCCTCCCACCTTGCTGGAATAACGAAGCCTCCTTCCTCTCCACGTCTCTCTCTCTCTCCCACTCACCTGCTGCGGCGATCGGACTCCTTCACTTCACGCTCTCCCAGTATATAACGACCACGTGAACCGTTGTCATTCCCTGCGTGAATGGCCCATGCCGAGACAGGGATTTTCTCTCAGCAACAGCGCAGAAAGCACCAAAGATTCTGCTCGCTGCTCAAATATCTGGCTGAAACATTTCCAGCCATTCCCACACCCCTCCCCTCCTCTCCTGCAACCAACCCCTTCCTGCCAGACTGCCTCCGGCAAGAGACCGCCCATCCGCAGTCTAGCCAATAGCATCCCACATTCCCTCTCTGAGGCTCTGTTGTTGGCCGAGTTTCCCAGAGCTGGCAGGCTGACCTCAGAGCTTCCGATGACTGGCTCCTGAATGCTGACCTTAGAGGTATTCCCCCATTTTTACGCCCTGTCAACAGAGGATTGATATCTTTTCCCCAACTTTACCAAACTCTAGACTGGAGATTACTGGAAATATTTTACAAACAGCAATGTGCACAAATTTGGCACTTTGAATGAATAGTTGCTCCAACCCTGGTTTTCTTTCTTCAGTGGAATACAAATCTGAATGCATACTGTATGCTACAAAAAGGACAAAAACACAATAAAAAACATAATCATTGGCACTTTAAAATGTTCAATAAGCATGAGAAGCGGAATATCGGTCCAATTAATTTTCCGTGTGGACGGGCTATGCAATGTGATGAAAACCAAGTGGTAGACAAAAAAAATGGCTGAAAACTTGACTTAACATATCACTAAGGTTATTAGTCAACTAAATCTAACTAAGTAACTTAATGTAAATGATAACTGAAATAAAATAAAATATAAAAACATTTTATATAATAATATAAAATACTTTTAGATTACATTTTATATTTTTACATATAACAAAAAACAATAAAATATTTCAGCTAGTTGCCAAGGTAATATTTCTCATTTTAATTTAGTTTAAGTTAGATTAAAAAAATAATAATAATAAAATAAAAATAGCTAAATATAAAAAAAAATCTAAAACAGAAATAAAAACTACACAAACATTAAAAAATAAATAAAAATTCACTAAAATTTAAAGAAAAATGGAAAATATAACAATAAATAAAAACTATATTAGTACAGCAAAACTGCTCATGGCTGGTTAGTAGGGGTGGGCGAATCAACTGGAGCATTCAAGAAATTGAATTAACAAATATAAAAATAAAACATTAAATACATCAATTATACATTGATTCTTATTTAAGCAACTGTATAAAAGTTCTTGCTGCTGTTTTATTAACATTAAAGGGATAGTTCACCCCAAAATTAATTTACTTACTCTTAAGTTGTTTTTCAAACCTGAACGAGTTTCTTTCTTCTGTTGAACATAAATGTTATGTTGAAGAACGTGGGTAAAACAGTTGCTGGTCCACAGTGATTTCCATAGTAATTTTTTTTCCTGCTATCAATGTCAACGTGGACCACATTACCCACATTCTTTAAAATATCCTCTTTTGTGTTCAGCACAAGAAAGAAATTAATACAGGTTTGGAACAACATGTGAGTGAGTAAATAATAACAGAAATTTCATTTTTGAGCATTAGTCTCCTGTCCCTTCAAGACCTGCATGCATCTAATATACAGGCACGCATCCGTTTTTCTCTCAACTGTTTACTTTCACTTTAGACATAACCAACTGAGTCTATATGTAAACCTTGTGTGTTTTACAGTATTAGCGCAAAAGATAACTTAGTCCAGAAATCAGGCGCTGTTTTTAATGCGCACGCTTCAGCTGTACCTACGCGCTCAGAACAAGCGCATGTCAGAACAGCACGTGAAGGAAATGTTTAACCGGCAACTGTACTTTTGAGATTGCGAATAAGTGCAGTGTCCCGTGAGTGTTTAACCACCGCCGAGTTACCTTTTGATGTGAATGTACAGTATAGGCTATTGATGATAGAATGTGCACTGTAGCACGATACTACGATATTTCTTCAAAAGCAGATTGTGGAGACATTTTTATCGTCCACGATCAAAAATCGTCATATCGCACACCCCTAGTGGTTAGGTGTCATATTTACATATTTTATTTAAAGAAATAATAATAATCAGTCCGCTGCCAAAGCAACATTTATCATATATACTAAAATAAATAAAAACGAAATAAAAACGACTTAAAAAAGAAACTACTAAAAGAAATAAATAAAAAATCTCCAGTCCCCATTCAAAACTTGAGTGATACATTAAAAGGAGCATTTTTGAGTTGAACACAAGAATAAAATTTAAGAGCTCCAGCAAAGAGGAAGATTTAGACATAACCAACTGAGTCTATATGTAAACCTTGTGTGTTTTACAGTATTAGCACAAAAGATAACTTAGTCCAGAAATCAGGCGCTGTTTTTAATGCGCACACTTCAGCTGTACCTACGCGCTCAGAACAAGCGCATGTCAGAACAGCACGTGAATGAAATGTTTAACCGGCAACTGTACTTTTGTGATTGCGAATAAGTGCAGTGTCCCGTGAGTGTTTAACCACCGCCGAGTTACCTTTTGATGTGAATGTACAGTATAGGCTATTGATGATAGAATGTGCACTGTAGCACGATACTACGATATTTCTTCAAAAGCAGATTGTGGAGACATTTTTATCGTCCACGATCAAAAATCGTCATATCGCACACCCCTAGTGGTTAGGTGTCATATTTACATATTTTATTTAAAGAAATAATAATAATCAGTCCGCTGCCAAAGCAACATTTATCATATATACTAAAATAAATAAAAACGAAATAAAAACGACTTAAAAAAGAAACTACTAAAAGAAATAAATAAAAAATCTCCAGTCCCCATTCAAAACTTGAGTGATACATTAAAAGGAGCATTTTTGAGTTGAACACAAGAATAAAATTTAAGAGCTCCAGCAAAGAGGAAGATTATCATTGAACATCTGCATTAATTTTGTTCATTTCCTAATGCAAATCTATCGTATGATTTCAGAAGACTTTAAATAGTGTGCAGGAATCATAAGGACTAATTTTATGCTGCTTATTTGTCCTTTTGAACTTGACAGGTTCAATCACACCATGCACTTTGATTGCATGGAAAAGAGCAGCATGAACTTTCTTCCCACTGTCTTCTTTTGTGTTTCACAAAAGAAAGCAAATAACACGCATTTGGAATGCTACGGGGGTAAGTATATGATGACAAAATCTGCATTTATGAACTATTCCTTCAAGGCCGTTTCAAAGCACATCTGCCCTCAAGGAAGTGTTTGTGTTGTCGCAACAAAGAAAGACTTTGAATTCTCTCGCACGTCTAACACCTCCGTCAAACGCAGCAGCTCTGCCTGCCTCCAAGGTCTCTGCATCCCCTGGCAACCCATCGCTATGGCAATGAGCATCGTTACTGTAAGGCGACGAGGACACATCCTCTCCTCCCTACCTTCATGACAGGAAGCCTCTTGGCGTCACGTGAGGGATGATGCAGTGGGGTAGAAGTGATGAGTCAGACGCCGCTTCACAATGTTTCCATCCCAATCAATAGAACAGCTGTAGCCTCATGCTTTTAGGGGCTCACATTCCCACAGGCGCACTGCAATTATGTGACAGCCAAAGTGCTTTTACAAAAGCAACGGCAAACGATGTTAAAACAATGCACTGCTTAAACGTCAATGAGGCAAGCCACACATGCGGCTGCCAACTAACCCTGCCAACCCTGACAGTCAACTATGCGATTACACTAAACAGCCCAACTGGTTTAATGCTGTTTATTGCTCAAATTGCTCATTTGACATGTAGAATCAAGGCGGAATTATTCGGTCAAATAATTAACACACCTGCATCTCGCTAAGGAAGTTACCTTAGCTAAAAAATTATACAGGTTTATGTGTTTGCTTTGGTCCACTAGTCCAATTAGGCAATGCTATTTTAACAAAAAAATCAGTTGCATGCATCTTTCAGGAAACTTGAGGAAATTAAATTGTACAATGTTGACATTATTTTACAATTTAAGGTTCAGCATCGTTTACCGTCACTAGTAAATAATTCAACGAACCCATGACATCCTTTCTGATATAAAGCCTAAACCCATGGATTCCCTTCAGAGAGGACATTAAGCTTATCTAATTGTTTACAGATTGAGACATTAAGCCTAAATATTTGATATACAAGTTCTAGATTTCCTCATTTATTTGGGCAGCTCTGACTAATACAGCTATTCTATTACATATCACCATTTCAAGTTCGTTTAATGATTACTTTATCAAATGTGTCACATTGTAAATGTTCTACAGAAATGTAAACCACCTCTGAGCTTCCCGTTTCACACTATAATCGATTCCTAGCAGCATGCCGATCTGTCATGATGAAGCTATTTGACCGATTTTAGAGAGATGAACCAAATGAAGGCCTGATGTATTAACAGTAACATAACTGTCCTTAAAGCTCCTCGCAATTAATTGCTTGCATTATTCTTTTGCAAGCAGCTTTGGGTAAATTCAGATAAAAGCATTTGCTAAATTAATAATGGAAATGCAAAAAGACAATTCACATCAGTAAGCATTCATTTAAAGGTTTCTGCATGGGACAAGCCTGATGCAAATGCATCTGCATTTAACCTCCACTACATTTGCATACAAAATTGTAGGTCAGGGATCTTCTGAGTGTTGCATTTCAAACCTGGCCTATAACAGCATATATATTGTACCAAATTAATAATGCAATTACAGTATATACAGTAGTTTGCACTACAATACTTATTTTGAACAGCTTTGCAATGTAAACACCATTACATTTTAATCATACTTAACACTTGTTAATGTGTGAGAGACATTGAATGATTTTGCATAACTTGAGCTCCTTAAAATGCAATAGTTAAAATGAACATTTTCATCTTGTACATGACTTCTTGAAGAGCTCTGCTCTTTGTGGTTTTTAAAACATGTCTACAGTAAACTGCTCATTACACTGCGATGCAAAACTAAATAACGCAGGTTTCTAAAACCCAAAGGTAACTAATTACCCCCATTAGACATCCTCACTGAACACGAACCATTATCCTGCACTGAACAGCCACGATGCGCAGACTATCAGACAGAGGCTTAATTTACTAAAACAATGAGAAAGGTGCAGTACCTGCTGTTAGGGCAAATAAAAATTAGATCATGGAATTATATTGCTATTTGGGTCATACTTGCATTATGCTTATTGAGATTTAGCAAAGCATCTTAGCATATATCCTCTTCCAT